ACATTAAAGCCTGTTTTCCTTTATTAGGCTAGTCACCTAAAATACCCAACTACTCTACCAGAGAGATTGTTAAAGAAAAGGAGCAAAGAAAGGCAGAGAGAAAGATACTAATTTTTAAAAGAGGCTTTAATTTTTAGAAGGACAAACTTTTTTGACAGCACAATTTGTGGGCAAGTAACATAGGGAATTAGTCACATTTTACAGATAGTTTCTCTGTGCCTCGTTACAAAAATAAATACATTAAAAGATACTCAGATACTATGGTGATTGGAGCGAAGTACATTAGATAGCCAACCCTTCAAAAATGTACCCCCTTTATTTATTTATGCACATACACTATGTGTATACATAACACACAATACACAATATAGAAACCACTCAACTTTTGCCTCCTCACTTTTGGGGGTTCTTCTTTCCCCATCCCCAATACATAAGCAATCTTTTTTAATGCAGAAAACCATTTAAAATAAAAAATTAAAACATTGATCCATATCACAGAAATAAATGCTCACATTTTACCTAGTTCTGCCAACTCCACAAATGCCAAAGTAGTTTGCAGAGTTCACAACCTCAAACTGCATAAGTTTAATGCATCTCTAGCTGATATCTTAACTAGTTGCTCACTTTCTAATGAGTCAGTTGTATACCACACACGCTCTCTATATCACCGTTCCTTCTGTACTGTAGGCAGCTTGTGAATATGAAACCTTACCAAATGCATTTTGATAACCTGAGGTGCATAATATCCATTGAATTTAGTTTGTAATAGTAATAACACAATAGTAATAACTTGGATGGACTTCAAGAATTCTGTTAAGCAAGGCATCTCTTTCCATAGAGCAAATCCAAATTGACAGTCTAGGCAAATTATGATGACTATACGCCAGTAACAAAAGAACTGACCCAAACTTTTACTCATAACTCAAAAATGTTTTAGATTGAGGTTTGATTGCCTGTTCTCTGTCATTTTCACATAATTCAGCACACACATCCTGCACCTCAGATAGAAAAATTGCTAAAATACTTTAAGTGAAACTTTGCTCATTGCATTTTCTGACAGAGAAATTAAAGGCTTAAAAAGAGATGTAGAGGGCCCCGAGGAACTAGAATCCAGAGACGATGGATTTCCTCCACTACATAGCTTGTACTTATCTCTTTCAGTAATCCTATTACCTTGGTTAATTCCTGGGTGAACAACTTTTCTTCTTCCTAGTCAACTCCTGCTCCTATAACCCCAGCTACCACTTCTGCCCTTCTTCAAGCCTGCCCAGGATCTTGCCCATTTCTTTAAAAGAGAAAATTGAAGCAATCCCCATCTTGAGCTTCATCCTTCCACTTCTATTCCCACCCCGTGCTTGCTCTTCTTTCTGTTCTGTCCGGACTCAAAAGCATCTATGTTGAGCTATTCTCCTTTTCCAATCTATTTAGGCATGTATTTTATGAACATCAGCATGGTATCCAAATGTTTTACCTTCTCCCTTATCCCAGCTGCTGTCCTCCCTTGCTCCAGCATTTACAATCACTTCCTAATATCTGGCTTCCTCCTTCTTCTGCTTTCAAGCCTGCTGGTTTCTTTCCTATCCTAAAATGCTCCCTTTAATGGTACAACCCTCTCCAGCTAGCACCTCATTTCCCTCCTTCCTTTTGACATTGGAGGCAAACTTTCAAACACATTGTCTAGTTCTACTGCCTTGAGCTCCTCACTTAACTCCTTCCTCGATACCCTACAATGTCTTTTGACCATAGCATGCCTGAGCCCTGCACTCCAATAAATTTGCCCTTTACAAAGTCAGCAATGACCTTTTCTTCAAAGTTTTAAGGACTTTCTCTTTCCAAAAACTTCCTCTCTTCCTCAAAACTCTCTTCTTTTGGCTTCAAAGATTGCATGTTCCCACAGTTCTCTTCCTCCATCTTAATTGCTCCTTTAGTGTTTCCTCCCATGTTGCTCCACCCCATCTCCTTCCATTTCTTTCTGTCATCCTTGGCTTCACTCTCCCTCCCAGGCAGCCCTGTGCCTGGAATGCCTTCCCAGATCCAAACCAATTCATCTTGCCACCTACCTCCATGTCTAGCAGAAAAGCTATGGGGGAAGATCTCTCATGTAGTATTTCCAAAACATAAGCAAGAAAGAGGCCAGAATTATTCAGATACAAATGGATAGCTCTGGAGGGAAGGCAGCAAGAAAACAGTAGCAATATTTAGGGTTAAGAAATCTTTTTAACCAGGACTCTTTAAACTATAATGTACAGAGTAACATTTCTGCCTCTGAAAAGCAAGGTTTTAAATGTATAGAGATCTGAGCTCTTAAATTACCTATATCAGAGGAAAAGCCACGTTTTTTTTTAAATCCATAGACAATCATTTGTGTGGATTCAAACACCTATTAAGATACACTCATTTTATATTCTTTGCCTCTCATTCTCTTTGCCTCAATTCTATGATTCTCTTTTGGATTTACAGTAGTTTTGCCCCCTATTTCTTTTTCTACACACACACTAGAAAGCTACAATGCCATTTCCAGGCTTCAAAGACAAAGTAATACAACTATCAATTAACGCACGGAGATATTTTTCTACCATGTTCTCTCTAATGCCTCATATGATCCCCAGCTATCCCTCCCTGGGAAGGAGGGAGGGCTAGCTCAGTGGTTTGAGCATTAGCCTGCTAAACCCAGGGTTGTGAGTTCAATCTTTGAGGGGAGCCACTTAGGGATCTGGGTACTTGGTCCTGCTATTGAAGGCAGGGGGCTGGACTCGATGACCTTTCAGGGTCCCTTCCAGTTCTATGAGATGGGTATATCTCCATACCCAAAGTATAAGATTCTGGAGGTTATGTTGACAGTAGAAGAACCATTCCAGTTTCTCTACCCAGCCTGGACCTTTGATGTCACCACGCATTTTTTCCATTCTATCTGACAGTCAAACTGCATGAGATGTAGAGGAATGAGTCAAGTAAGAGGCAAGTCCCATTCAAGAATTTTTCAGTATTTGGATGGGACAATTTCTTAGACTTCATGGTAAGAGACAGAAATTTGGTCCTGGTCTGCATGCATGTTGCCTTTATCCATCACTGCACAGCAAACAAATCAAATGGGGCTAGTTCCATTATTTTATGCTGGGATTATTTGGTCATTCCTTGCTTGGTGTCTTGAGGTGAAATTTTGGCCCCACTGAAGTCAAAATTGATTTCATCCATAGCGTCCAAAGTCTTTTTTTCCTAGTTTGATGTCTGTTGTCTTTTATGCTTGCTTCTCTCCTTTTTTTTTTCTAGCTAGGGACTTAAGAAAGGAGTTGGGAATTTGTAACTTAAAGGGCCAGTTCTTATATTAAGTCACTTTGATACTCATCTCTCTACCTCGAGACAATGCATTAAACATTGATTACCTGGTCAGCAATCTTCAAATCCAAAGACCCATGCTCCTTGAATTTCAATCTGAACTTTCTACCCACCCCAAAAATCACAATATCTGAGGCAGATATTCTGCAGGTTCTTTGAAAACAAGAATCTATTCTTCATAACCAAGAACTGACATATCATACAGGAGGTTCCCACACCTCCATTATGCTTTAGACTGAAAATTCTTTTCCAGTGCAGTATATTTCATGACCTTCTTATGGCAATGCTGCAATGGCAGAAGTATTAATATTAGCCTGCCAGTTTATGGAGTATTAATACATGAAAATGTCAAAAGAACTGAAACAATACAGCAATGGAAGGCTAGAACAGTGGGATGGGGACTTGCACCACAGGTTCTGCTAAATGACCTGCCAAGCTTTTTCAGTTACACAGAAATCGAACACAATCCCACAAACCACTGCAGTATCTCACAAGCTGCACCAAAGGGATCCAAACAGCTTTCTGCTGACTGCACTAACCAGTATGCTTATTCAAGTGCAAAAATTAACATGTTTGTTATGATGCATTACTCATTTTGAATATCTCAGACTCATTCTTTCTGAGCCATTAAAGAAAAAAATCATTTTAAAGTTGAATGGAAGCTACAGCAGGCTGCAAAATCTCTATTTCTATGGAGTTTTGCAGTTCAGCACTTAAAGCTTTGGGGGAATTATTTTCTTTTGGGCAGTACTTTAAGATGCACTGCTACATAATCAGTCTACTACTTCAGCCACTTTGTCTCTCGGCAGTGGTTTTAATCTTCTGGGAATTTATTAGCTGCCACAATTGGCCTTGATTTTTCAAATAAAACTGCTCCTTTATAATTCATACTATTATGAATTTCAGTTTCTTCAAAACTTTAATTAAAGGCTGCATGATTTCACATTGTTTTCTGTATCAAGGTTGATTCATATAAATTTTAAGCATTGGAGTTTCTTTTCACTGGATGCAAGTTGTATTATGCTATAGCTCCTGAATTGGAGGTGCTGGATTACTCACTCAAGGCCAGGAGTATTTCCAAGTCTTAAATTTATGCAGTCCTCTCATATAAGGAGGAGCCATCAGGGGTTATTATTGTGGTTCAATTATTTTCATAGCCAAAAGGAAAGAATACTTCTGACATGTACGCAAAAGAAGAATTATATTAACAGATTACAAAATGCTGTAATTCAAAAGAATAAAACAATCAGAACACATATGGTTAACATTAGGCAGAAAAGGCATTATAATAACTTGGAAATGCAGCAAGCATTAAATAATTACCCAAGTAGCACTTCCAGGGTCCAGAGGGAGATACAAACTATGGGGTCACAATCGTCTTACCAATTACTTTCCCTAGGAAGTTTTAAGAAGTCCCTAAAGAAACAAACAAAAAGAAAAAAAACAAAAATACACATTACAGAGGACCAGGGTCGGCTCCAGGCACCAGCAAAGGAAGCAGGTGCCTGGGGCGGCCAATAGAAAGCGCATCCGTTATTGGGGTGGCACGTCCGGGTCTGCGGCAGCAATTCAGCGGTGGGTCGTTCAGTCCCTCTCCTCCTCTTCGTCAGTACTTCGGCAGCAGCTCAATTGGGTTTCTCTTTTTTCTCTCTTTTTTTTTTTCCCCCTCGCCGCTTGGGGCAGCAAAAAAGCTGGAGCTGGCCCTGCAGAGGACCAATTGATACTGGTGAGAAAATGGAGTAGCCCCTTTGATTTACACTAGTGTAATATGAGAGGACAATTTGCCTAAGAGCATAGGTATGAGAATTGAACTGATTTCAGGCCTCGCCCCCCCCCATTTTTTTTTAATGGGATCTAGTTTCAAACTTCAGGGGAAGTCCCATTTCATATTGGACTATATTGCATCACCTTGAGGAGAAGTAGGAAAGTAGAGCATTTCCACTTTGACAAATAATGATATTCTATCCAAAGGGATGGGAGAGAGAGACCCAAATTTGTTCACTTTTTGAAACATACGATTGTGTTGAAGTGATTCACAGTAAAGCAAAGTGACAATTCAGATGATGTATCTACTACAAACCATTAGTGTCAGGCAGAATAGAAAATATCACATAATTTCCTTAGTGTATTCTGAAATGAGTCCAGACCCATCATTGCAGATGAGCACATGCTTGTCTTTCAGTCCCAAATATTTTCTCCATTTCTATAAGGAAACAGACCTGTTTCCATTATTAATTTTTCTGGAAGGTGAATAGATTTCTGTCTTCATTAATACAGCTCCAGCTGAAAGCAATATATAATTTTTTATTACTAAGATATACACATTTATGTAGAGCACACTTCCTTTCTGACCCATTCTTGCAACCTGAGCAGAATTTACCTATGAATGTATTTGGAAGAGGATATTTGTTTTATTATTAATTATGTAAATTACCACGTAACCTTGGAGACCCAGTCAGGGACCAACACCCAATTCTGCTAGGTGATGTACAAACTATTCTCCCAAACTCAGGTCTGTCTGAAAGCTAGATCCCCTTCTCCTTGTCAGCAGAGGGAATTTGACAGATGTGAGGACTATTTATGACACTAAACAGAAGCAGGCTGTAATCCAGAGACCTAATCAGAGTGGCTGGATTTCACATCCTATCTCAAAGAGAAGGGAAGACATGGGCCCGACACTTGATAAGGGTGCACTCAGGTGGCTCGAAAAGGGTATCAGGGGGACAGCCTACTCAGGGGCCGTGACAAGGCCTTTTATTGTTTTAACTCTTTTCCTCTCTGTTGGTTATGTTCTTATTGATAAATAAGACTTTCTTTTGAACAAGCTTTCCTCAGTCACTGTATATTCACACTGGTCACTGGCGAGTTGATAGCAGGACCAAAAACCCAGTTGGACCTCTGAGGACACTGTTGGTGAACAGGGGTTCTGTAACTTGGGGACCCCATTCTCAGAGTGGGAGTGAACTGCGGGGTTCCACAAATAGACATACAAGTGTGAGCCTGTCCCTTGGAATGGGTGGCAACGGGGAGACAAAGCCAAATGGTACAGCTCACCCTGGAACCATATCAACTTCCTAAAAGGGGGATGGAATGATTGGTGAAAACTGACATGAGACACAAAAATTAAAGCTCTAGAAAAAGAATCCATCCACATTCTGATTTTCTACTGAAGAGACAAATTTAAACTGGATAATTGTTAAAAGCAGAATTTGCTTTGTGCGGCTTAAGAGCAGTGCATTGGGAAGTGAAAGGAGCAAGTAGCCCCTGTACTACTGTCTTGAAAAAGAAATAAAACCAGAAGCATCTTCCTGTATCACAGCCATCAAGTACAATCATAGCAGTTTTCTAGCTAGCTCCTGGGGTATTGCTTAGGTCTTCCACACTCTTTAGAAAGACATTTTCACATCATCTGTCTCTTCCGGTCTACAGGAAATCAAAAGCTCTTTCATAGGATCACCACTGCCTAACATTGAGCAGACTGACAAAGAGGATTTAAATAATCCCATCACCCTCCAGGAGATTAGCAATGCTATAGCTATCCTTTGTGTAGGTAAAGTGACTTCCCTGCAGAGTTTTTTTTTTAAATGCTTCATTGTCAGATTCCTGAGCTGCTGTTATGTATGTTAAGCAGACAAACACTTTAGCTGACAATCCAGTTACTGGCAGGCACATGTATTTTGGATCTGTACAGGAAATGAAAGCCTGTGCTTTGATTGCCAAGGTTATATGTCCAACTTGCTCATACCTCAAGGGTGAAGAATAATAAAATTATTTCCAGGGGCTTAGCAACCCATCTGGGAAAATGCCCATTATACCTGATTCACCCTGACCAGGTGAGTTTCCACAAAAGGAAGTTCTCAGCAGATAAAACCAAGAGACTTCTAAAGTATCTGCATTCTGTACTCCAATCTGGGCAGAGAAGGCTTTTGGAAGCATCAATGGTTCCATTTCAGTTACTTCAAGTTTATTCAGTAATCCCCTTCCATGGGGTTATTCATCTCTCCACACAGTTATCACTCAATTCTGCTGGGTTTTCCCTCCAAAATATCTCCAGAATCTAACTGGATCTCTGTGTTTCCATTGCCAAGACTCTTTGACCAGGCCCTGGTCATTTCTCACCTCAATTACTGAAGCCTCTTCCTCATTTTTCTCTCAAGTCTCCTCAGCCACCTTCAAGATGGGGGGAAACGCAGCCATTGATACAGCCTACCTTGCCTATCCCTTAGCTGCTCCATCCCTTCACACTCTTCGTCAGACCTTTCACATCAAATTTATGTGCTTGCTCCTGCTTCAATGATTGGCACAACTTAAGTCCTACTTACCTTTCTGCTCTCACCTTTTTCCATTACCCTCTTGTCCATTTTGGGTCACACAAGTGGCATGGCTAGTCTTACCATAGCTTTGTGTCCTTCACCCATACTTCTGTCCATATATTCTTCCATGCTGCTCCCTATGGCTAGAAACTCCTCCATGAACTAATCCAGTTTACTGCCTCCCTTTCTTTATGACCCTCCTTCAAGCTCACTTTTTAAAAAAGACTTACTGCTAGCCCTCAAAGAATGAGTGAATATAAACCTGTAAAATAAAATTGAATAAATATAATATCCCTGTCACACAAGAGAAATATTTCAAAAACCAAAAACTCCTACCATGGTTAACACTAGTTAATCTGCACTAGGGCTCCCAGTGCTATTAACCCCAGTGGAGCTGAACCAGTGTTAACAAAAAGTAGTCCCACCATTTGTAAATTCCCTAACAAAGAAGTCAGGATGGGTCTGGAGAAAGTCTGCTTCACAGCTCCATCTCCTGCTCTTTTTTTCAACAAGTGCACTCTGCCTACCCGTTGACAAAGGCAGCATATGTGCAGAAGGGAGGGGCCTAAACATAATCTGCCTATTTGGGGATATGATGCCACCCATTAATTACTCTCCCACCCCATTCAAGAGAGCACTAAGCTGGAACATCTGTCCAGCTGCTGCATGAGTCTAGTACTGGGTACAAGGCCTCTTTCCTCGTAGCACAGCCACAGTTTACAAGATAATATTTTGCCATTACTTCATACCTTGAATAAGGCTTGTTAACTGTGAACCAATCTATATATAAAGCAAAATCAAGAAAACAAAGCATATTTAAGGGCAGAAGTAGGAGATGTTAGCTACATAATACAGGTAGTTTGCTGTAATAAATCCCTTTGTAAGTGAACTCCGGTCTAGAAGCCTGATTTGTGTTGTCAGAATCATAATTTGTGCTGTCCCAGAGCATGCAGAATTCTTGTGACTGAGACCTAAAAGAAGGTTAATTCAGTCTATGAATAAAATAATCGTTGGAGGGAGATAGGCCTAAGAAGTCATCATGGTATTTTGAACATCAGATCCCAAGCAGGCAGAGATTATTGCATTTAGATGAATGAACGTTCAGTGCCTCTTATCAAAAACCAAGTGATCACTAAAAACTTTTCAGATAGGCTACAGAATGGGACAGGGTGTCGAGGGAACTATATGACAGACAGAAAATACACTAGTCATCGGACAGGTGTAGCTAGTAGACTACCATTGCAATCTAGTGATATTTGATGTTGACACATTATATACCCATATCTATGAACTGTGTTTACCTGATCATAGCTAGATTGTCCTTTATCATATAGTATGCGCATCAGTCACTGTCACCAGATTTAAAAAAAAAGAAAAAAGGGAGTGTCTTTTTCCAAGTTCAGTGCATATCTACAATCCTGTAACATACTTGGTTTTTCATAGATCTCAGAATACTTCTCTCCTGGTGACGTCTTGCAATTGGGGAACTATCATAACACCATATAGTAGACTCAATATGAATAAAGAAAATGAGGTAGAGGATTGGTTAATTTGTTGGATGATAACTGTACACAGTTCACTCTGCTTTTGAGAAAATCTGGTGTTATCCTGGGCTTGATGCAGAAATTACCGGGTGAGGGTCTATGGACTGTATTATGCAAGAGATCGGAATCATAAGGGTACCTTCTGGCTTTAAAAATCTATGAACCATTCTGGTGCACTGTTTGCTGGAAAGTCCTGAAGCAGTTTCAGTTACTTCGATACATATCATAAAGTAAATGTATATAACCCCACACTGAATATTTAGCATAAGATTAGACTATTACCCCATCACCAATGCCATATAATTTGAAATAGTGTGTTATAAATGAAAATGGCTTGGTATTTCTCTTTTTGTAGGCATCATTCATGTAACACACCATTCATTATCTGCTGTACATCACATTTCAAAAGCACACAGTAACAAGACAGTAAAATCTGACTGTCAGATGTACTAAATCACTGCAAGATGACATGGGGCCATTAAGCACAATACTTCAATTTGAGCAGCTAGTGCTTACATCAGTGTTTAACATTTAAAAAACAAAACAAATGAATTTTGCTTAATATCAATGCTCAGCTAGAAGGTGAAATTCAAATACAAAGCTTCAGCAAATAAAATTCTGGCCTGTGGCTCTAAAGCTCAGTTGTAGGTAACATCCATATTTAGCCATCTAAACATGGGGCTTGGTTTTCTGCTGAAATGCAAACCCTTCCCTGCATGGGTGTAGTTTGGGGGGGTGGGCATTGCCCCCCCAAAACTGCAAGCCTGGCTGGAGCTGCCCCCACAAATATAAAAGTCAAACTACCCCTATGCTTCCCTGTCTTAATGAGCTTGCATTTATAATTAA